CATTTGGCCACAGGGCCCCTTCCTTCCCTGGGCTATCGAGGTCTCCCAGGCCCATGACGGCTACTGTACGTGGCGGCGGCAGCCACCCAGGGTGTGGAGCAGCGGTGACTCAGGCCACACGCTCTGGGAGGGGGCTGGGAAGGGGGGAGGCGCTGTGGGCCCTGTGTGGGGGCAGAGACCCCCTGGGAGTGAGGGGGAGGGAGCAGCGCGGCCGGGGGCCTGGGGCTGGCAGGCTCGGGCGTGTGACCCTCCCTCGTGCTCTTGCAGGGGGTACACGAGTCCAGGGGCGTGACTGAGGACTACTTGCGCCTGGAGACGCTGATCCAGAAAGTGGTGTCGCCGTACCTGGGCACCTACGGCCTCTGCTCCAGCGAGGGGCCCTTCACCCACTCCTGCATCCTGGGTAGGGATCCGCCCGGGCTGGGGCCGGCAAGGGAGGCCCCATGGCCGAGGCGCGGCAGAGCCAGCCTCCTACTCGGTCCTGAGCGTCTGCCAGCCCGGCCGCGCGCTGGCCTGGACAGGAGGGTGGGGCTGGGCAGGCAGCCCCACGAGGCCACTGTTCCCTGGGAGGTCACATCTGTGCTCGGTGACCAGAAGTCGGCCAGACAGGGCGTTTTCCACTGGCAGATGCCGGAGCCTGAGGACTCCTGCTCCGTCAGGGAACCGCAGGGGCAGAGGAGGGCCGAGGTCCCAGGTGGGCGGGGGCAGGCCCCGTGGAGGGGCGTCCCCGCCTGGCACGTCCAGCAGGAGCCAGCCACGGTGCTCCCTTGGTAGAGCCCGTTGGTTCATTCAGCAACGTCACTTGAGCACCTACTGTGCGCCCAGCCCCGCCCTTACTGGCTGCAGTCCCACAGGGCAAGCAGACCAGCAAGTCCCCAAGGTGATGTTGCACTGAGGGACGGGAACATCCCTGCCAAGGGGACAGGTGGTAGGTGTAAGGGCTACTTGGGAATGTGCCTTCCGTGCAGAGTGGCACCTCTGTGCCCACCTGCTGGCATAAAACCCACCCACCAATGTGTCTCAGCTCAGGCAGGGCTCCTGCAGCTGAGGGGGACTTTGGGCCCCCAGCCTGGACAGGACAGACCCCAGGACGGATCCTGTGGCCTCCGAGGCCAGGAAAGACCCTCAGGGCGCTTGCTGCGCTCAGCCTTGCCACCTGGTGGTCCCTGTTGGGACTGCAGGGCCGTGACTGGGAGCCTGAAACCAGCCCTCGCCCAGCCTCGGCCTCCTGCCCAGATGACTGATGGGGCCTCCTACCCCGGTCCCTGCGTCTGCTCTCGTCCCCTACAGTCTATTACTCTCCACATAGTAGCCATTGAGGCCCAATGACGCCTGCCCCTTAGGATAGACTCCCAGCCTGGCCCTACATGGGAGGCTTTCGCCACCTGCCCCCAGCATGGCCACGACCGACCCTGTGGCTTGTCCACGTAACACACGGACACCGGGACACCAGCTCTGAGGGCAGGGGCTGTGTCCGCCTAGGAAACTGGCGGCACCTAGCAAGCACCAAGACCCGTAGGCTTCCACTGGTGGGGAAACTGAGGCATGGAGGGAGTACGTAACTTACCCGGGGTCAGACACAGGTCACTGGCAGGGTGCAGATTCCAACCTGGGCAGTTGACTTGAGGCCGTGCCCATCCAGGGGTCACCAGGACCTGACCTACTGTCAGCCGGGAGCCCGTGCCTGACTCTGGGCAGGTGGGGCCGGTGGGCCGGGCCCAGGATCTGAGTCAGGCCTTCCTGGCAAGCGCCAAGGTGTACTGGCGCAAAGGAGCAGGCGGGCGAGTGGCCGTCCTGCCCAGCCTCTGGCGTGCGGCGCCTGTGACCGTCTCTCTCTCTGCAGAGAAGCGCTTCCTGCGCCGCTCTCGCGCGGGGGACATGCTGGCCAAGAACCCGGTGGTGCGCTCCAAGAGCTACAACACGCCGCTGCTGAACCCCGTGGCCGAGCACGAGGCGGAGGGCGCCGCGTCCGGCGGCACGAGCATCCGCAGGCACTCCGTGTCCGAGATGACGTCCTGCCCCGAGACCCAGGGCTTCTCCGACACGCCCAGCCAGGGCCCTGTGGGGGCCTTCAGGTCCTCCCCGGCGCCCCACTCGGGGCCCTGCCCCAGCAGACTGTGCCCCCCCAGCCAGCCCCCCGAGCACAGCCCGGGCCCAGCCCACGGCTCTCCGCCCTCCTCCAGCCCCGAGAACCTGGTGGACCAGATCCTGGAGTCCGCGGACTCGGATTCCGAGGGGATTTTCATTGACTTTGGCCGGGGCCGCGGCTCGGGGGTGTCCGACTTTGAGGGCCCCGGGGGCCAGCAGAGTGTCGTGTGAGGGCCTCGGGGTGGCCTCGTTTTTACTGACCCCCACGTATGCGTGTCCTTGTGTGTGCGAGACTTTTATACTTTGTCCTGTTCTGGCCAGCCCCGTCAGCCCTGTCATTGGCCTTGATCACTTTATACTCCTGGGTCTGTGTTGGAAACTTCGGCCTCCCCTGCTCAGCCCCGGTCTGTTTTGGGGGCGACTGAGTTGGCGTCACCCAGGTGCAAGGGTCAGCTCGTGGCGTGGGGGGATCGGCCCCTCGCTCCCGCCCCAGCCCTGCCGTGCGCACAGCCGCCCACGGAGAATGCGGATCGGTGTGTTCTGCCCACGCCGGGCCCCCAGAGTGGCCGGCCTGCAGCAGACCTGCCCCTCCGACGCAGCAAGACCTGGACGTGTGGCTCTGTCTCAGAAGTCCTGCCTCTGCCTGGGGTGGCCGTGGGGACAGGGTGGGTGGGATGAATGGAATAAAACCTGTCGTCCTGGCTCCCAGGCTCGCGTGTGCGGTGCTGGCCCCAGGGATGTCCCTCCAGGGTGCTCACCCTCAGGCCCTGCCTCGCGGGGCCTCCCCACTCCTGGGCGGGGGACAGGTTCCCAGGGCCCGTGGGCCTACACGGGGGTGGTTAGGGCCGCCCTGTTGTCCAGCCTCGGCTAGCTTTCTGCTTCGCTTTCTCTGCCCCTGACGGAGGGGCCTGGAGGAAGAGCTGGGACACCAGGGGTCGGGGACTGGGTGCCGGTCACAGGCCCTGCCGCCAGGGGTCTGGCTGTGACTGTGCCCCTGGTGTTAGCCAGGACAGAACCGCTGAAGCCGAGGCGCGGCACACGACCCCCTCAGCTCTCGGATGGTGCTCCAGGAACAGGTGCGGGGCCGGGCATGACGAGGCTGGGTGCCTGGGGGGGCAAGAGCGACCCCAGCCTCAGGAATCAAGCAGCAGGCGGGAGCCTGAACCTGGTCTGGGAACCATCAGCGTGGCTCAAGGGACTGAGATCCCAAATGCCCTCCTTGGCTCCCAGCTTCCTCACGGAACTGGGGCGGGCCTGGGACCCCCCCACGCCCGGGGAGGGGCTGTGGGAGGTCTCAGTACCCTCGCTGAGCATCCTGGGCCCCTAGGTGCTGCTGGGCCTGGTCTGACCCAGGGAACGCTGGTGGCACCTGCTGGGTGGCACTCAGGCCTGTGGCAAGCTGGGCCCTTTCCTTGGTGGTCCCTGAGCTCTTTGACTAATCCATCCCCTTCAGCCAGCGATGTCTGTGCCTGCTGAAGCGCAGGAGGAGGGTCGGCCTGAGCCTGGGCCCGTGGAGGCTGGGGAGGCTGGGGAGGGCCTGGGGAAGAGAGGAGGCCGCTCCCACCGGGCTGCACCCCCAGCCCCAGAAAGGAGCTGCCCGCTGAGGGGGATTGCGCGTGTCTGTTAGACCCTGCCTCGTTCCCAAAAAATGTCCGAGGTGATGTACATCCAAGCATCTTATAAATTGGCAAGTTATCTCACAGTTTCTGTAGCTCTTTAAATATATATGTATACACACATACATGTAAATTACCAGTGAAAACCCAGGACCAGGGAAAACGGAAGTTAGGGGTACATCAGGACAGGAGGCCACCTGTCACAGACGTACGCGCTTTGGCCTCAGGCGAGACACCAGTGTCCCCTCCAGGAACCGAACCTTATCCTGAAGGCCACGTCACTGACCACGCTCATTTCGGCCACCAGGATGCTCAGGCTGGCTGCGGCCCACAGTGTTGTCCCTGTAGCGCTGCCCTCCGCCACCCGAGTCCCACCCTTGTCCCCACCCACGCCTGGCTTACTCTTCCCCAGAACTTGTCACTGAAATCCAGTGGTGGAAGCGGGATTTGGGGGCCAGAGGTTCACACCATGCGGGAGGTGGGTTCTCTGCCGAAGCAGAGTGGAAAGAGCCGGTGGTTTGAACCAGTTGAGACGCTATTGCGTGTCGCATGTTTACGACACCTGAGCGCCTTGCTCGGGTCCTCCCTGGGCCTTGGAGGGAACCCGAGCCCGAGAGGGGCCCGGAGGTTTCAGCTTCACGAGCTCCTGGGAGCTTTGCAGAAAGTTCCTTATTATTTGTCCCCCCACCCCCAGGAGGCCCCAGGCGGCTCCTCTCTCCCTCTCCCGCTGAGCCCCCAGCTGCAGGCCGAGCCGGACCCCCCGACATCTGTTACACGAGCGAAATATGTGTTAATTTGTTAATTATGGTGGATCTGCCACCGGCAGCACCAGGGGTCTCCAGTGGGCTCATTTCCTCTGGGTCTCCAGGGCTGGGGCTCAGGAAACCATTTTATTATTTTTGTCTTTCGTGTGTTTAATTCTGTGTGGGGGGGGGGGTCCTGAACACTCTGCCCCTCGCCTCTCAAATGCACAGTCCCAGGCCCTGGCTCCCTCTGCGCACCCTGAGTCTGCATTTCAGCCACGAGCGGGGGCTCCGTGGGGAAGCGTGGGTGCTGTCACCTACGCCCAGCACTGGCTGCCACACATGCTCCAAAAGCTAAGATGACAAGTCCTGCTAAACGAAGTCAACAAACACGCATCAGGCCAAAGCCCCGGGGCAGAACGTGAAGCGTCCCGCCTTTGCTGGGGTGGGGGGCCCGCCTCCGTCAGCAGCGGACGCTCCTGTGAGCCCCCCGCTCGCTCGTGGGTGGGAAGGGGACGGGAGTCACCCACAGGGTGAAGCAGGGGAAGATCTGATGGGAACAAAAAACTCTTACTGAAAGTATTCACTCAGCTGGGGAAACCCGTGGTCGATAACTCCGGCTCAGCGTGCCCCCATGCAACATCTTGGGGTCCCCCTGCTCCATGCCCCGACTGCCTCGGGCATCGGGGAGCCACAGGTGCCTTCTCAGAACGGTGTTTTGAAAGCTAACGATAGATAACACAGGATGACAGAGGAAGCCCACTGTGTTGCTACGTGGCTTGCAAGACATTTAAAAACCGTGTGCATGGTAGCAGTCACATCTTCATCAACACAGCAATGACCAGATCTCACGTGGACCCAGCAGTGGCGGACTTTGGGGTCCTGAGCGCGTCCGTGGTGGTTCGAGGTACCCCCACCTCTGCGTGCGGCTCCAGCCCGTCTGAGTCCGTTGCCAACAAGCCGTGGGCTCTGCTAACTTTGGTTCAGCGGTTAGGGACATAAAGATGTCATTGTTTTTCCATGGAGTTCACAGACCCCTGAATCTTGTCCCCTGCGGGCTCAGGGGCAGGAGGCATTCCAAACCCGTGGCCCGGGAGCCCCCGCTGTGAGGCGCTGCGAGCCCTCACGTGTGGACGGGAAAGGTTCACTGCGCCGCGGGGCCCTTCGCGGGGGCAGCCCGGCCTCCCCATCACACCCCGAGGACCAGGGACCCAGCGCGTCAGGGTGGCCTGTCCCCCGAAACGCCTCCTCCCCCTCCACCCTGGGGTCCCTGGGTCTGGCCATTCCCCCTCATTCCTGGCCCACATCCCCCCCCATCTCAGCGACTCCCAGCTCCGGCCTGGCGCCTCCAGTGGGTCAGCTCCGGCCAGGCAGAGGGGGGCCCCGGGCCCCGGCCTCTCACTGCTCCTCAGCGCCTTTGGGTGGGGGGCTGCAGCCCAGGCGCAGGGAGGGCGCTGGTGGCCTCTCCAGGCTTGCCACAGTGGGCTGTAGGCCTCCCCACCTGACCCCTGACCCCCTGCACACGCACAAACCCATACACACATGTGCATGCACGCACACACGCACACACACGCACACGGGCTCACCTCGCTCAGGCGCCCGTTGCCTCACACCTCCACACCTTCAATTTCCTTCCCAGCCACCCCGTCTGCCTGGAAAACTCCTCATCTCTCAGGGTTTCCTGACCGCAAAAATGCTCCCTGGTACCCCTCGTGGGGAGACTTGGGGGACACACTCCCCCAACCCCCTCTGTAGCAGGACCTGTCAGGTCCCCACGGGACTGTCAGCCCCTGGGGTGGGCCTGTGCCGACCCAGCGGAAGACTTGGGGCGCTTCGTGGCAGAGGGGTCCTTTTACAGGTGTCTGGAGGGACAGGCAGACACCAGGAGTGAGGGGCGGGTGCTCCAGGCGGGGGAGCAGCCGGGGCAGGAACACGTGCCAGGAGGTCCCAGAAGCTCTTTTCTGTAAAGGGAAGATTTAGTTGCTTCGAACTTTGCAACAGGAACAGTGAAGTGTCTGTAACGTGCCTGGTGTTGCCTGAAGCTGTTCTTGGGGTTCGTCTGTGCTCTGGTGTGTGCTGCATTTTGTTCAAGCCCTCGGGCTCCCCCCTGGCCACCGCTGCTGCCGCAACGGGCAGAAGGAACAGCGGGAGGCCTGGGGGCCGCCAGCCTCCCTTACCTCCCAGGAGCCTTCTAGCCCCGCCCTCCTCCTGCTCTTCTCCATCCCTGGGGCCCCGGCTGCCCTTCCCTGCTGCAGCCCCTGCCCGGGCCCCAGGTCCTGGAATCTTGTCCTTAGAAGGCTCACTGTCCTGTCCCCACAGTGACATCAGTACATTTGCCAAGGTCTGGGGCGGTCAGTCCTGTCCCACACACATGCGCACACGGTGTGCTCTGTAGGCTCACACTCATACACACATCCACACACATGCACACTCATACGTGCACACACTCCTACGCATGCACACATGCACGCACAGTATGCTCTGTACACTCACACTAACACACACTGATACACACTGATACCCACACTCCTACGCACGCACACATGTACACTCATGCACACACACATGCACGCATACCTGTACACATGCACACTCATACATACATACTCTCCTATGCATGCACACATGCACACTCATGCACATACACACCTGCACACACACACTCATGGCCCTGGAAGAGCAGCCTCCCTGTCCCCACCCCTGGTGGGTTTCCTGTACTGAAGGGTCATGAATTCTCATGCCACCTCCTGTGTCCCCAGACGGCCGCCATCGAACCGAAGATGTAGAGAAGTGGTTGTTCAGGCTTCTGCCTGCATTTGCCGTAGCCCCGTGTCCCAGGCCGCACGGGCGGCCGCAGCACAATACCACAGCCTGGGTGACTTCAGCCACCGACATTTGCTTCTCGCAGTTCTAGAGGCTGCAAGTCCGAGATCG